GAAATTGTGTATGAAATGGATACCTTCCCATTTTCCACAAAATCTGTGATTCACAGTAGGTGGTTTGCTGATACTGAGAGATATATGTAAATATATGTAAATGTATATATAAAGTTACAACATTTCTTTATATACATTTTAATAATAAATCTTTCATATCCCAGAATAGTACAGTTATAGCTACGGGAGCCTTCCCCAAGTAAATGAGAAATATTATACTATGTTTTATGGGTTTTAGACAAAGCCCTCAGTTAGCGGAACAGTCTCATAGCTTGTTTCTGGAAAAACGAGGTATTTCATAGAACAGAATCAATGGTCTTATGCACTGTCACAACTGCAAGCCAAAAAAATACATTGAAAAATATCTATTTCATTAGATTAGATTTCACAGATCCCCCCTCTGTCCCACAGATCCTTCCTCTGCCCCACAGATCCTCCCTCTGCCCCATAGATCCTGACTCTGCCCCATAGATCCCCTGTGCCCCATGGATCCCCCCTCTGCCCCACAGATCCCTGCTCCCCCACAGCCCCCCCGGGCCCGATCCCTTTTTTGGGTGAAAATCCGGCATTTTAGGGTCCGAGCCCCCCTTTCTAGGCCCAAACTCCCCTTCTTTGGGGCAAAAACCTCATTTTTGGGGTCCCAACACCCAATTTTGGGGCCAAAACCTCATTTTTAGGGTCCACACCCTCCTTTTTTGGGGCCAAATCCACCTCTTTTGGGGGCAAAAAGCTCAATTTTAGCGTCCAAACCCCCATTTTTGGACCTAAAAATGACATTTTTGGGGCCCAAATCCTCATTTTTTGGGCCCAGATCCACATTTTTTGGGCCAAAGTCTCTTTTTTAGGGTCAAAAACACCATTTAGGGGTCTAAAAATCCATTTTTAGGGGCCAAAATGACATTTTTGGGGTACAAAAAGTCATTTTTGGGGCCAACCCTCCCATTTTAGGGTCAAAAATCTCACTTTTAGAACACAAATCCTCCTTTTTTGGTTCCAAATCACATATTTAACCTCCAAAAATGTCATTTTTGGGGTCCACACTCCCTTTTTTGGGTCCAAAACCTTCTTTTTTGCATCCAAACCCTCATCTTTAGGCCCCAAAAATCACATTTTTGGGTGAAAACCTCCATTTTTTGGCTCCAAAATCCCATTTTTGGTGGCCCCAAAGCTCCTTTTCAAGGCCCAAAATCACAGTTTTTGGCTTTTGGGTCAAAAAAGGCAGGTTTGGACCCCAAAAATGTGCTTTTAGGCCCCAAAAATGTGGTTTGGGGCCCAAAAATGAGGGTTTAGGCCCCAAAAATGTGATTTTTGGACCCCAAATATGAGGATTTAGACCCCAAAAAAATGGTTTTGGGCCCAAAAAAAGAGGGTTTAGGCCCCAAAAATGCGTGTTTGGGCCAAAAAATTAGGATTTCAAACCCCAAAATGTGGGTTTGGGCCAAAAAATGTGGGTTTAGGCCCCAAAAATGTCATTTCAGAACCAAAAATGAGGATTTAGGCCCCAAAAATGGGTTTCCGGGTGCAAAAATGAGGATTTTGACCCCAAAAATGTGGGTTTGGGCCCCAAAAATGAGGGTGTAGACCCAAAAAATGAGGGTTTAGGCCCCCAAAATCGGTGCTTGGGCAAAAAAAAATGACTGTTTAGACAAAAAGATGTCATTTTGGGCCAAAAAAATGAGGGTTTAGACCTAGAAAAGGGCGTTTTCGACCCAAAAATGAGGTTTTGGGCCCTAAAAATGTGGTTTCAGACCCTAAAACTGAGAATTTGGACCTAAATATTAGGTTTTGGGGCCTAAAAATGGGGGTTTGGACCCCAGAAAATGTGGTTTCGGGCCCAAAAATGACCATAAAAATGAGGGTTTTGGCCCAAAAAAGCAGGGTTTGCACCGTAAAAACCAGATTTTTGACCCAAAAATGAGGGTTTTGACCCTAAAAATGTGGGTTTTGACCCAAAAATGAGGGTTTGGGCCCAAAAAAGCAGCATATGTACCCTAAAAAAGAGATTTTTGACCCAAAAATGAGGGTGTGGACCCAAAAATGAGGTTTTTGACCCAGTGAAGCAGGGTTCAGACACAAAAAATCAGAGTGTTGACCCAAAAATGAGTTTGGACCCTAAAAAACAGATTTTTGATCCAAATATGAGGGCTTGGAGCCTAAAAATGAGGTTTTTGACCCAAAAAAAGCAGGGTTCAGACCCTAAAAACCAGATTTTGGACCCAAAAATCAGGGTTTGGAACCAAAAACTGAGATTTTTGACACAAAAATGAGGTTTTAGACCCTAAAAACGAAGTTTTTGACCCAAAAAAGCAGGGTTTGGAACCCAAAAATGAGGTTTTGGGCCCAAAAATGAGGGTTTGGACCCTCAAAACCAGCTCCAGGCAGGGCCCTGGATCTCCTCAGGAGGCCACCGGTGGTGGGGACCTCGTTGGGCTTGGGGCACCAGTGACGATGACCACGGTGAGTCCTGGAGGGCACCAATGGATATATCCTAGGACCATTTGCAGCAGCCCTCGATAACCTCCATCTTCGTATGTGGGAGCCCTCCTGATCTTTTGTTGAAGAGACTCATACTTCAGCAAACTTACCCATTCACAAAGCAGCAGAAATGGCTTCTGCAGCTCTAGCTGCGCTGATGACTGCAATTGAGAATTGTCTTTACATGTCCAAACGCTTTCTGGTTTCTGCTTTTCTAAGTTGATTTCAATACAAATTCAACACAGGATGTCAGCGTCCTGCTTGTTGAGCTTCCTCTATTATCGCCCACAACATGACCCAGCAGATGGCAGAAAGCTGAATGTTATCTTCATTTGCTCTAGAATTCACCCATGCCAGCTGCAACTCAGACCCTGAAAAGGGCCTTCAGTCCGACAGGAAGTAATTTCAAATTTTATTAGCTCTCCAGAACATACTGCAGACATTTTTCCTTTCCTTGGCCTTTCAGGGATGAAGCTGAGCTCCTGGCTTTTATGCAAGGATGTTATTTTCTTATACATAAACAAGCAATGCCCAGTAAAGCGAGGGAACGAATCAAAAGTTCTCAAGCTGAGCCATTTTAATTCTTGGGTGAGTAGTCCAGCCTACAGCAAAGGACCTTCACTGAGCCAGATTTTGAATGGAGAAAGACCGTTTCACTTGACCTCACCGTACTCCAGCACCCAATCACGAGGAGCAAGCACACTAAGAGCACTCAGTTGCTTTCATTTTAGCATAAAATGTCAGCAAATTTCTACAAGAGAAGAGAGACCTACAAATTCTCTGAAAAACAGTGAGGGCCAGGGCCAGGAAAGGGAGAAAGAAAATGGAAATTCCTCTTCAGTTTTAATTTTAACTCCCACAACGGCACATAAATCTACTGACGATTTCGTGTCCTCTTCCTTTGCATCGTGGAGGATGCTGTAAGCAGGGGACAAAAAGGCAGCATTCAGTACATTACACACTGCAAACTGAAACCACAGTAAAAACAAAAGTGACTTTACTGAACAAACGGAAGTCCCTGTGCCATCCTTTTAGTTTATGATAGCTCCCAGTGAGAGGCCTCAAGACCGCAAAAGTCAGGTTCCGATTGTTCTGGGTTTTTTCAAACAAGATAGGTATTTAAGTATGCGACGAGTCTGCAACTTGACCATGGAAATACAATTTCAATAAACAGACGTTCATCAATTATATTAAAAACCAAACCTTCAAAACAGATACAGACCTCCAGGAAAAACGTTTATTCAACTGATTTACAGAGTAAGCCAATTAAGGCAAAATATATTACTTGGAAATAGACAGGCTTTCACTGGGTACAAATATGAGCTGGCTTAACAGGATATTGTGTATAAAAATGTCCTTTGAAAGCACCTAAGAAAGGTAAAGGCAGAGCAGTATCACCTGAAAAACTGCTTCTTTAAGGCAAACAAAAAGCATTTGTTTATACTTCATTTCTTAAGAAAAGTATTATTACCAAAATTTTTTCTTCACAATCACTTCTGTATTTCTCAACAAAGATTTAAGATTGTGTGTCGACAGAGGGCATTTATAGCCACCAAAAATACTAGACACCACTGAAGACTGACACAAGAAACAGTGAGCTCATGACATCAAAACAGCATTTTAAGACTTTAAAATGTTTGGAAAACACAGGAAAGCAAAGGAAGTGATACATATCTCACTATTTCCCACATCAAATTGCTGACGACCATAACCTGACAGAAGAAATTACGTAATTCCATTTAAGTATGACGTTTGGAAGCACTGGAGTAAATGATGTTCTTGAGACTGCTGAGGTAATTTCATGCTTGTGTGGTACCTGATCCAAAACCCACTGAAGCAACCTGAACTCTGTCTAGTGTTTTAATCAGACCTGAATTTCATTACCATCACATAAAAAGAAAAAAGATGCAGCACGGAGAAACAAGATCTCAAATCTATTTAGCAATGACTAACGGGGCATGGATTTGTGTTCTTCTTCAGCAGCTCACTGTTAGGTGTAGTAAGAACTACTCACCATCACTCCTCAGAACTTCCACGCAGACACCAAACCTACGAGGTCTTAACTACCACCTAAGCACAGGCCCCAGGAAAACACCTAACGCAGATGGCGGTCTCTCTGGATTGTAATGCATATGTAATGTACATCTTAGGCTGCCAACATGTTTAGATTACTAATATAATAGAAATAGCTAAGCAATGATCCCCATGTTTCAAAAAGTATACGAACTACAATACTTCAGCCAATGCCCGGCAAGGCGTCAGGCGTGTTCCACTGCATAAACTGCAATGCTGTTTGTCCCAAAAGCGCTTGTTCTGATTTCCTGTTTCGTGAATCATTCCGGAAATCATATGGGAGTTAAAAACTGCAACTGCTCATTTCCACTATGGGAAATTACCTTCGTTTCTAAAAAGGTACAAGACAGCTGACAGTTTGATTACAAATCTGTGCTATATCCACCGAGAATTAGAGTATGTAGCTTTCGCCTCAAGGCCAGTATTGGCTGGTGTCACGGATCGGCCTTCTCTCACACGGCCCTGGGCGGTAAGTGCTGTTTGTACATTCCCGCCAGAGCCTTCGCCGCGCTGTAGATCATCTGCCGGCGGGACATGCCGGTGAATACCACGTGCCAGTCAGTCCTGTTGACGTTCAGCACGCTCTTCTCGAGCACCTCGCCCACGGTCACCAGCAGTCCTGACCATCTCAGACTGTAGTCCTGAGGAGTGAGACTCTTCGCCTGTAACATTTTGAGAAGTGAATATTGACAGAGTTTGAAACGAGTAGTTTTATTTCTGTCTTCAGCATTACCAACCCTTGTCAGTAACCATTCTTACACCAATCGCACCACACAGCAAACTGAAGGGTACCAGGACTCAAACTTCAGGCTGCCCCATAATTTGCCTAGCCTGTTATACTCCTTGGATTTGTATGTATGATGATCCAAGTGACATCTGAACAGCATGAACATGAAATATGATTCTTAGGAGCATAAAGACATTCTGCCATGACTAGGAAGTCATTTTCTCTTTTAAAGTAGTCAGCAGATGGAATCAGTAATGATGCGTATTTATACAATGACTCTTACCCTCCAAAGGTTTTAAAAATGGTTGAAAAGTCCCTCTGAAGCAGGCAAGCAGCCAAACACAAGAAGAGAGCCGAGCCTGTCAGAAATGGAGGACTGCACTCTTTGCACCAGAGCACAGACGGATCACACGCTGTGATTCTTTGAAGCGGGACACAGAAGGGAAACAGGGGGGCAGGCATCACTGCGTTTACCTGATCTGACGGTCGTCCTGGACAACCACCTGTGGCTGCTGCCACACACAGTACAGGGCAGAAGGCTTTTGTCCTCAGTAACACTGTGCTTGGTCTTACCCATCTCTCCACAGCACTGCACATTGGGCCCAATTATTCATACACATTTTGACAAACACTCAAGTTAGTCTTTTTTCAGTGCATGTACAGCAGACCAGAGTCCACCTGCGTGTTCCAGCCTTCCTAAAACTACTGCCTTGCAACAATAAGCATATATGAGTTTGTTAGAATATGCAGTCTGCTCCAATATTGAAATAACGTGTTATTATCAAGAGGGTACACATAGAAGGCAGATTTCTTAAGCAAATGAACAGGAAAGTTTCCCTGTTAGCCAGAACACATTGGCAGCAAGCAGTAAACACGAGTGCATCTAGTTGTAAGCAGGGACTGAATATCTGATTATGATATGCCTCTCCATTCTGATCCACTATTGCATGTGACTTTATAAATCAATTATTTGGTATTTTTACCGCCAAAAAGCATTAAACTTCAAATAAAACAAAAAAACCAACCTTGCAGTAGTTTCCTATCATGGTTGAAATTTCTGTCTCAGCAAAAACCAATATGATAGCTGGTCTCATAATAGAAAACAGTTCTCAAAACCAGCCCTCAAACCCACCTTTTTACCTCCTCAAATCAAGTTATTAGAATTATGAACAGCCGCGAGTTTCACATTGTGTCCTCTGAAAACTCTATGCAATTAGTAAAGACATTAACAAAAGAGCATCTATTCTATACAGACAGTTTTACCGCTGTTTCCACTGCACAGAACAATAAAACACATAGCCAGCAAGAACTGAGGAATGTTTTAATGTTGCCTCTATTAAATATTTTGTACTGTGAATAGCAAATAACATTGCCTGTCCAGTTAAGCTCTCAGTTAAGCTATCAAATATAGTTTTAAAACAACAAAACAGAGAATATTCTGTGAAACAAAAATTGAAGATACCTATTGTTTTGGACACTTTTAAAAAATCACTTAGTTGGAATCAATGCTCCATACAGAATGTGACAATTGTTTAAGTAGCGACTTCACATTGCTGTGCCTGTTTTCACAGCATCACAGAACAGTATGGGTTGGAAGGCATCTTTAAAGATCATCTAGTTAATGAAGCTGTATCTGCTTAATTAACATTTTTCTCCCATACCTTCGTGTCTTTCTCCTCTCTTTTGGAAAAGCATTCTGGAAAACTGAGAGAGACAGAGGAATATTTCTCCTTTGCAACTCATCAGCTTTTCAAAGTTGTAAGAACTCTGAAAAATAAGAACTAAAACCAATCCCACAAATGTTCACTCCGTTGGAATTAGCATTACCAAAAAAAAACAAAATAAAAAAATTAAACAGTTACTATCTGTTTTCTCAAAATAACCTCCTAAGGATCACACCGTAAACAGTTTTGTTTTGAAATTCTTCACGGAAACATTTATTTCAAAAGAATTTTCAGACCAGAGTTAACTAATGTATGACTCCTATCTGCTGTCAGCCAACATGCAGTGACTGAGTTTGGAGAAATTCCCAGTGCGTGCCCAAGAAAATGCAAACAATCTCATAAAAAACTTCTACTGGTGGTATTTTAGAACTGTAGGCTACTGCATTATTTTCAATGGGATGAATCATTATATTTCCAAGATTTAAATCTCTCCATTTCAGAGATTTTACATCCTTGTCAGACTAGCATGGTCAGAAGAGGAAATCGGTCTTGCCTTTTAAGTCTACATGTTCACGGTGGAATTAAGGCCAAGCACAGATCTAAAGAAGGTGTATCCTCTATTTATTTATTAGGGATGAGTTTTCAGAATACTAACCAGTACAGTATACTGCCTGCTGGTAAATAACAACATAAATACCAAGGCTTTATGAGCTCTATTAAAAATTGAGTGGCAAGATATCAATTTACAAATTTGTGCCTAAATGAAATGTAAGCTACTTCACTGGATTGCTAACATGTACACATGCGCACACAAGACACTTCACTACTGCACAGTTTTGTCAGCATTAGATGAAACTCCGATAGGTATGTGAAGTAAGCTGAGCAAAAGAAACCAAGCCTTCAGATGGATAAGAGTGCTTACTGCACCTGCCTGGTGCAGTTACTCAGTGCATTACTTATGCTGCAAACACCTCCTTCTGCGCCTGAGGGAGAATGAGCATCCTTACTTTATCAATGTGAAGATTCATGAGGGTTAATTTGAGTCACTGAACCAGACTGATGGTAATATTTCAGTGATTAAAGCTGTATTTCCTTTTTGATTGAGTACTTTGTGCTTAATTTCTTCTTGGTTAATATTTCCCCTTGGTTAATTTCTTCTTGGGGTATTTCTTCTCCACTAATAGAAAAGTAAAACTACTGCTTCCAGCTACCATGTATTGCAGAATGACACTCTTGATCAAGAACTGCTTTGCCATGAATGTCTAAAGATTTTTAGGTAATACACAAACATGATTCAAAAACAGTTTTTATCCTAATTTCATACATTAAAACATTCAAGTGGAGCAACTGTCAGCAAGAACTGCCATCATAAATGAAATTAAAACTTAAGTCTTATGTCTCAGCTGTTAATCCAGTGTTTGTAAGACAACTGAAATCTCACCTGCTGACCGTACTGCAACGTGAATTGGATCCTCAATAATAAGACATCCAATGTCAAACCACCTGCAAGAACATGCAACTCAAGCTTTACTTACGAGTACTGAGTATCACTCTGTTGAAAAACATGTTAGCAGTCAAATTATGACCATTTTCAAGGGTAAAAACTTTGAAATGGTAGCAGTTGAATTATGACCATTTGTCTGACAGGTAAAATACACATAAGGGAGTTTGCAACTTTTTCTGCAAATAGTATTCAGGACACGCAACTGGAAGGGGAAGTAATGTCCTTCAGCTGTCTGATGGACAACCGAGAAGTCCAGCTGTGAGCACTGACCGATCTGTTCAAGTGTCAGATGCAGAGCTCTTATTATTGGTGGGTGGTTACTTGGAAACTCCTCTTCTCTGGATGTGTGCAAGTATGGTAAACTATCAGCAAAACACTGACTGCATCCCCTATATCAAAACTGTAACACCCCCACGCTCACTTCAGAATAATAATTCATCAATTACTAGCACCATGACCTATGATTTAATTGCAGAAAAAAAACAAGGGCAAAAAATAGTTCAAACTTTTTTTTGTACCACCATGCAAGGAAGCTTTCAATGTTACCCACTGAATAAAAGTTAAAGCATGTATTAAGTTATTCTTCATTTCTACTGCAACTAATTTTGAAGCTCAAGACATTCTTGGGGCCTGTATTGTGTGGACAGAAGAGCTAACACTCCTTTCACCAACACTGCAGTCCTGGGTGAGCTCTTTCATGTCGAGTACATCAAGCAACACTTTCAGATTTAGGAATGAGTAAATTCAGAGGACGAGAATAGTGATTATTTTGTAACAGAGATCTCATTGTCATATTTACTCCTTTGTGGAAACACAATAAAACATCTAAATCGGACTAGATGGAATAAATACCAACCAAAAATTAAAACACTTCCTAGCTCTATTTACTTTAGAAAATTCCCTATCCAACTTTCACTAAGGATATTAAGTGTACCTTTAAAAATGGAGAAGGAACAGAGTATGTGTCAAAAAAAAAAAAATCTAAACCCATCACATGAACAGAAATGCAAACATTAGAAAAAAAAATGTTAAGAAAAACACAGCATTGTCCTTAATGTTTTGGAAATTAATTATAAAGCTACCTCAAGAACTGTCTGTCAAAAAGCATATAATGAAAACACATTGTAATAGATTTGAAAACACCACTGTTGTGTCGGTGCAGTGCAAATTAAACATAGTAAGTACACTCTAGATGAAAGGAAAATGGGCAATATATTATCTGATAAAATCATATTACTGCAAATGTCAGAACACCTCCCATTATACTTTGTGAACTGAATACAATTTCAAAGAAAGAGAGAGCGCACACATAAGAGTGAGCAAATTGCTAGCCAAATTCCAACTCATAGAGCTCCATAATTTTGTCTGGTCAGTATAACTTCACTGTGTTTTTACATGCTCTCTCTACATATTTGATACATTGACAATCTTGGAACAACCTGACAAGGATTCTGTACATTACAGTCTCAATATGTATGGACAAATAGCTGAACATCATCACCGAAATCAAATCTGGCAAAGCAGTACTGAAGACAGATTCTATCCCCTCTTCCGCTCAGAGTGACACTGCCTGCAACTTCTTATAGGCCCCTTGGAGTCAACAAACAATACTCCTTTTCTTTTTTTTTCCCCCTCCCAGGAATATATTTAAAGTTCTCACTTGTCAGGAAGCAATTCCTCAATGAAGTTTTCTACTGATACAGCAGGCTGCTTTTCATGTATTACTCCTGTCCGACGCAAGCTGTCTATCCTTTCTTGGGCTCCCTAAATGGTAACATCAGCTGTCAGACAACATTCTCTTCGAACCACAACATAGTACAATCATTATACATCAATGCGAAAAGAATCCTAGAACATACTTTTGCAGTTAAACAAAAAATATGACAGATTTTGAAAAGTTACTCTTATTTCAATGTTAGAAAAACCAAAAAAAACAAAACTAATGAAAAGTCATAACAGAACCCCAAACAGTAATACAAAGCTATGATAAAATGAACTGAGTATTTTTAGTTCGTTATTTTTCCATGAAAAAGATCAAGATTAGCACGCAAAGAATCCCTAACCTGTAACTGTGCCAAGCTTCGCTATCGTATAAGCATCAGTATATATTCCAGTTATTCACACTGACATTTTCACAGCTTAAGATTTGTCAGGTTTGGATCCTTTAAGAACTTTGGACCAAGTTTGTGACACCAAGTGAGAGAATCTCTTTGTTGTGGTACCTATCCAACTAAGATGTAGGAATCTTTGGCTCCAAACCTGTTATCACTCTGAAGCTGTAATAGAAATATTTGTTTTCAGGGTTTTTAGTTATTGGTCAAGGAGATGGCTGCACCTAGATACTCCACATGAACACGTACATTTTTAAAACCTGGTGAAATTGCTAACCCTTTCTCTGGGCCAGTACAGCTGCCTGTAAGGGTGCACAGTGAATTCCTACTTTTTAAACATAACATAGATCTCTTCAGGAAGATCCCTGACAAGTGTTGGTCAAACTGTCTCTGATCTACAGAATCAGCTGGGAGACAACTCAGTCTCAAAGAGTGTTTTTTAATTTCTAACACTCCCAGCATGGTGCGCTAGTAGCAGACTGAGAAGAAATGCCTGATACACTTGAAACTACAGTAATGCCACACTGTATGTTAGATGCAACGGCAACCAATGACAGTATAACAAAACTGACATAAATATTCTTCATTTGCTGTGAATGTGTTTGCAAAAATACCCAAAATCTATTTCAACAAGCAGCTTTAAACCGATCTAATGATCCAGATGGCAATTTTTTTTTTTAAAAAGGGAATGTTTACCTGTTTACCTGTTCCACAAACTGACCTCCACTTTATGCAAAATCAGCTCTGCTGGGTCAGTGTTACTACACTTTCTCATTGCATTGGAGGTACTTTAGTACTGTTACACATCAACTCACTTTTAAACCTGCAGCATAGCCCACAGGCTGGGGTGCGATGTTAGACTGTGCAGCCTCTCCAGTAACAACCGCCATTCCAAAGACTTCTTGAAAGGCATCTCGAATTGCTGCAACTTTTACCTCCTTATCAGAAGTAACCACTATGTCCAGTTCTCCCCCAGTTTCTGTAAAATACATACATATATACATATATGCATGTTTTTTTCCTCATTGGCATTATAAGCTAGTTCAAACACATTCTACATCTTAAGAGTATGCTTCAGCTGGTTGTCTTTTTCTCACACGCTGCACAAAATTCTTTCATGAAGCACAATAAAGTTAGCAAGTAAAAGTTAGGTGAATAGCTAAGTGATTCGTGGATGAAAGACAGACAACAGGAACCGATGGTTGCTCAGGAACTGAAAAAAAGCATACCGCTCATTTTAGATGACAATTCACGGATTTAGGAGAGTAACTCAGACATCCATTTCTAAGGGTGTTCTGGGAAGTGGTACGGAGCGTTGGTGTGGAACACAAACTCTTCCTTATGAATGGGACAACAAGAACACAGATGCAGTTCGTAAAACCCAGTGAACAGCTGTCAAATTACATAAGCTTTAAAAGAAAGGCTCACATTACTTTCCCATTGTCCTTTGACTGTGAATTTCAGCGTCCTTTTATTGCCTGTCTGCCTCCCTACAGCTTTATCCTGCATTTAGATACCGGAACCAAAAAGTTCCAAGTATTCATGAATGATTTCCACGTGGCAGTATCTCCATAAAGAAGGACAAGCTTTCACTAAGCTTTTTTAGAATAAAACAAAACAGTTCATGAATTAAAAGAAATCTAAAACTACCAAAAAAGACTGATGAGCTTAATTATGCCTCACACCTGTCTTTATCACAGCTGGATCATTTTTATTATCAAACTTCATCTATGCAAAAACATCTCGTAAAACTTGTCCCTGCTGTGACAAGCCTTCTTAAGAACACGTTAAAGTTTTTTCAAGCATGGAATATGACATCAGAGAACGCTGCTTAAGTAAACTGCATCAGCAAGTGCAAAGTACGAATTAATGGACAACACGTCTACAAGCAGGCACTAAAAGTAATAGGTATTAACATGCCTCTTGTCATCCTTAGTCCAATGGCAGTGGATGATGAAGGAGTACAAGGAGAAGGGACTACAGAAGTCACCAGATCTACTGTCATTTACCACAGAGCATCTCCTGTCTCTTCTGCTGACACAGAAATTTTGGTTTGTTTTGTTTATAACTTCTTCTTTCCCTTCTTCCACTCCTTGCTAGGAACTTCATAAAAGGTTTTCAGACTAGGTACGAAGTGTGGGGAGAATTTCTTCTCCTTCCTATTAATTTTCAAACTGTAACTGAAATGCTAGGCTTTTCCTTCCATGCTCAATGCTCAGCAACACTTCCGATTTCACTAGACCATTGTAGAATTTTAACATTCCTATTGATTCAGGAACTGCTTCAAGTTTGCCAGATTTCCTAAAAGTCACGTAAATAATATCAGGCTAAAAAAGCGGAACAGCTGAAAGTCAGAAGCAAGCCTCGAAAGCTATGTAAATACCTCTGTCTTTTGCCTAGCTTTTGGCTTATTTTAACTATCATGTGCTAGCTTACACAGTAGTACTTAAGCACGTGATCCAACGGAACACGTACAGTGTGTTTTAAACTCAACTCCATTAGGCTTAGAGACACAACAGGAGAAAACAGTGTGTAACACAGGGATTATAGACGAGGTCTCTTAATTGTTTTTGTTTCTTTATAACTTCTTCATCATTCACAATATGAATTAAAAGGTATACCTGTGCCACTACCTGAACTACAGCAGAATATAAAAGTCAAAAGAACCTCAAGACACACATAAAAAGTCAGCCTCCACAGTGCGAGTTTCACTGGACGATACACTTGAGAAATCAGTACAGTATTGTCACTTTGAATTAATACATTACATATACAAATTGCAAGTGTAAAAGTAGTGTGCTATTATTTCAACCTCTCTAAAACTGACATTCATGGCTTGTCACAAATACTTACTGATATATGGAACCATGCCAGGATCCAGAGTTGTGATCATGGTCTCCACTGAATGTTTGGTTTTATCAAGAACAGACTTCACCATGGGATTCTCAGCTACACCCTGAATTTAAACAAACAGATTGCCATATTATCTTCTGGTTTTTTCCCAAGAAACTCAAAACATTACAGTTAAAAACCAAACAAACTAAACCAAAATATTAAGCTGCTTTGTGTTTTTCTTACCACATTCACACTTTGTAACACCTATTGTATCTTATCCCTCATCACAAACGCTGCAGGATACAATTATGTCAGTGTGTGACTTTTCAGTTATACATAACGTACAAATATCATCTTTGCCATCCTCTTCTGCATTAATGCAGAAACAGTCCCTTCAGTGATGGTGGGCAACACACTCGATCTAGTCCTATTCTGGGACTGGAAGCCCTCAGCATTTAGCAAAGTTGTAGACCCCCAGTGCTAATTGCAGGTATCATCATTCTGGTGAGGTAAAACAGACTATGTGTTTCTGCATCTAGCCGTTGTTAAGATTTGAAAGCTAATTTTTACTTAAAGAGGTTCTAAAGCTTCACCCGATTTAAGAACGTGTGACAGAACCTGTTAGGCATGCATGTCTTCCCGTCACAAACACTGAAATTACCCTAGAACATCTGCATTTGTGTAGTCCTTCCTCTTCTATACAGAGGAAGAGCAAAATAATAGATTCAGGAAACACCACTATCAAAAACAGCCACCTTGCACAGGAGGCCAAAGAAAAGACAGGATTTATAGCAACATACTTCAAAAAAATAAGGTACGTCTTATTATAGTCAGTAAAAAGTGGTAATTCCTCATGAGGGGTGACAGACAAAACCCCATACCTTTATAAACCCCCACAGCCCTCCCGCAGGTGCTCCGCCTTGGGCAGTAGATACTCTGGGATCTTCACGCTCCTCAGGAAAAGTGATTGCAGAACCAGCTCCAGGAGCCAAAGGTGATGAGAAAGCTGCCTGTTGAGTAATAGGATCTGCCAAAACACCTCGTAAGAGGGAAGAACAAAACACAAGTGTTGATTTATTTCACCGCATTTAATTTTTTATACTCCAGCAACATGCAATTGTTTAACAGGAAAATGAGCAGGAAGAATAGAATAATACCGGGCTGGTTCACTTCGTTTGTTGAAGGAGCCAGAACAATTCTGCTTGTTGAAGCTTAGCAGATACAACTACAGTAAATGAGTTCAACAACATCTGGTAATAGAACTGAGACTGCCTACACATTATGTGTAAATTAAACAATTATTTTTTTCTTAGCAGGTTAGTGGTGCTTTTTATTGTATTCAAATTTTCGTAAGCCCTCAGCAGAGGAAAAAGAGGAATGGGTGTTCCTCTCTGAACAAAGATTTAAGAATGCTCTCATACATAATAGAAAGGTAGGAAACTTTCAAACCCTGAATGATGGAAATTACTAGCAATAGAAAAAGGAGCAACCAAATTAATAGCTTTACATATTTTAAAGTAAAGCAAAAGAAACTCAAACAGTAGAAAATGTAAGCATGAGCCTTTGCCCCACTGGCCAAGCCTGTTGTAAGAGATTAACCAAGAACTGCCTTAATTGAGAATTATTTCTATTTTGTACTGCACAACTGATACGTCTTTTTAGACATTTTCCTAATACAGACTACTTAAAAGAGATATCAGCAACAACAGTAAAAGCCTGGCCCCACTGCAGTTGAAGAGCCAAGTTTCCATTACACTAGCAGAAAATGACATCAGTCCAGCAACTACGGCAACTGCTTCCACAGAAGGTATGTATTTTTAGCTGTCCTAATGCAATTTAGTGGCTGGAAACAACGAAACAGAAGCTGGTGTCATGTGATGGACAGCTTGTTGCAGATAGCTTTTCAGAACAAAAACCTGAAAATTATGAGGTTACAGCCTGAGATATCATATCACATTATTCTGTGGAAATATAATGGCTGAAGCTGACCCTGATCTAAACAAAAGATGTGTATGTATGTTCAGCTGTGCTTTCCTGTGCAAGTTAATGAGAAATAAAACTTTGAAAGACTTATCTGTGAACCTGAATGCTAGCAGAATTCTACCAAAGACGACTGTATTTGAAGGGCTACTCTCCCTTCTTCTGAGTGCAACTACACTAACTAGGTGTACCCGGAATAATAATGATGCTGAACCTGCAGGACTCTTGCAGAGTGGTGGAAAAAGCCACCCAGGAACTCCCTCATCCTGTCTCGCAAATACGAAAGCAAATAAACAAAAAGTTACCTGTGACCGGAGGTGCAGAAAATGACGGCATCAGCGGGCTCTGTGGTGCTCGACCAGCGTGACCTCTGGTTATGTCATAGGTTGAAGACATGGAGAACCCTGAAATGGGGGGACCAGTGGGAGGTGCAGGAAGACCAGGGCCAGTGGCTGAGCTTAACGGAAGAGGTGTAGAGAAGTGGGGCATGGAGGTACTGAAAGCTGAAGGGGCAGCTGGAGGTGGGGCAGGTGTCAGAGGTGGTGCAGTAGTAGAAACTGTTGCAGGAGGCACAGGTGGAAGAGGAGCCGAAGTCATCATAGGAGGAGGAAGCGGAGACACTCCAGCTGGCAAGGGTGGTGAGTATGCAGGAGAAGATGACATGCTCGGTGTAGCAAGGGGACTGGACAAAGCTAGGAAAAAAGAGAAAAGGGAATTTTAGAAACACTGAGCCTTAATCTCAGAGACTCAGGTATGTAATTGTTCACATATTTTACGAGTAAGTTCTGGCCTGGTCTGCTTTTCGCCCTTCAAAGTTAATTTTAATTCTGCTGGAGTGTGCATACACCAGCCGCACTCAATTTTTGGTGACAGTATCTTGTAATGCACATCTCTTTCTTGCATGACCGTATTTGTCATAAGCTTAAAAAGACGAGTCGACACTCGACTACTGAATTTACAGCAGCTGACGTCTGCCTCAGAAATTTCTAGCTAGCACTGTTCGGTCTGATCGATTGCTTACCCAAGAGGAGTAATGATGATTCAGGAAGTGCCCATCTTTAAGATTAAAACATGCACTCATAGTATCTGGGAGGGAGGGAATTGCTTCAGAGGTATGGTTCTACGAGATGAGCTGAGCACTAGGCAGTTCTCTCTGCCCTGGCATCCAGCCTCCTCATCTCTCTGTGTTCTCCATTTCAGTCTGGCCCTCAGCTGACCCTCAGATAAGCCAATTTTGCTCTCTAAGTTCAGCCAGAAAAATAAGTCAGATAAACAGAAATTACCATTTTTGATAGCAGTAAGCTGTTGAATCAGCTCAAGCATCCCACTGTCCTCAGCCTAAACATCACTGATAGTCAAATGATACGCCAAGCTGCACTAATGCAGCAGTCTCCAAACATTATCACACGTACCTATCAGTAAAATATTTCTGAGCAAATTTATTTACATATAAATTATTTACATGTACCACTGTACCAGTATATCATGCATATTATAAAGCATACACAATAGAAACTTTAAAAGGATGAGATCAAGATGAATAACAAAATTTAAATACAACTTTTTATTTATGAACAGTACAAAAACTTTTCTGCTCCCACTGGTAATTGTTTATTATACTAATACAATGATATAGTATGTTAATAATGGTTAGCATACTATGTAATACAATCATTAACGACAATTTTTTAGTTTGAGCAATGTAACTGAAGAAGCCTCATTATTTTTTAATGAAGTTCTAACGCTTTTTTTCCTGCACTCCAATGGATTGCCTTGCACACCCCCTGGGGTAAGGGCACCCCGCTTTGGAGTCCACTGCACTAGTGTGACTGAAGATAAAAATACCAGATGTGTCATAAAATTAAATATTCGGTATTCAGAATATAGTGTTCAGATTCTTGAAAAATTTCTTGAAAAATCAGGTAAGAGCTGTGCTTACCACCCACAATACTAAAAACCAAGTGATTATCCAGGCTTACCACTATCTCCTATAAGACTGTAAATTTGTTTTTAACTCCCTTCTACACTGCTCATTTAGCCGCGCACTGTAGTCGAAGGTATTATTTCCCTGGCCCCACATCCTTAAAAAACAGAAGTGCATCCACATGACTCCATAAAAAAGTATCAACGATAAAAAAATGTTTAAAATATTGTGTGTCACATGCATGTCAGATAAGCAGTCTTCCAGAAACAATTTAAATTCTTCCAGTTAGCCTGGAGAAGAACACTGTGATTATGCTGACTGCAACATTTTTGGGTTAATGGCTGTGTTTGAGAAGAGATGAACGAACACAGCCAAGCTGCTGAGGAAGTTTCTGTACCTAATGAGACAGGCGTGGCAGCGGCGGCCCCTGTGCTGCTAGGTGGGGGTGTGCCAGGCGGAGTCGCCTCTATTCCGCTCTCTTCCATCATTTTCCTTCTGCTGTGAAAAGCTGTGAGGAAAAAAACAAAATGTTTATCATGAGAAACAACGGAAAAGGTTTTACATTAGAACGTAAAGGCCACAACACAGTTATTCACATTCCCGAACAGAGCAGGTCATTCAAACGCCAACTTCAGGAAAAAGAAAAAAACTGACTGATCTCCAACGTGTAATTATCCGGCATGTCTCATTTCTCTCTTCTCTCCCCTTCACTTTCAGCACTGTGACAACACCTCTAGCTCCAGGCCTCTTCCTAAAAATCTCACCCTGCGCGCCCAGTTACTGCTTCCATTATCTACTGGCGCTGTTTTGATGAGTAAGAGCAGAGCAGTCATTACACGTGGCAAAACCCATATCCTGCTGCAAGAAAAACGACTACGGGGTAGTATTTTGCTGCACTACTGAGCTGCATTAACTCCAATAATTCCTGTAAAACCCGAATACCGCACTGCTCTGATGGTATGACCAGGACTGAGAGTAACTGAGAACTCTGGCTGTCATTCTGAAGGCCAGGTTAGGTTAGGGGTGTCTTTTAACATCTTTGAGTAAACCTTTAAAATACACTACTTCTTGAAAAGCAAAGCTACATGCTTATTTAAAAATCTTAAACTAATGTAAAAGGGCTTAGAGGAACAAAAGGAGCGGGGAAAAATCAAGACTTTCATGGACACCCGGAGGTTTCTGTTCTTCGGTGCAGAGGCGGTTCACAAGAAAGCCCTGCTTCCTCCCAATACTAGTAAACCGGGCAGCAATGATTTGAAC